GAATGAGGAAGAACAGCCTAAAAAGAGAAAGCATGATATACATAATCATTTTATTTCTTATCATTGAACACTGGGAAATAAATCGGATAAGAGAAACCAACTCTGTGCAGGAGAATGGGGCTGAAGATAGAGAAAGAAAGCTTTGGGTTTTTTTCTTTTTTTCAGAATATTTTTTCAGGGGTGATTGTTTTTCAAGTGTGCAGTTCTTAGCACCAGAGAACCCAGGTTCAGCTCACCCCGTGGCACATTTACAACCAGGTGATGCACAATGCTTCGTGACAGTGTGGCAGAAAAACGCTCAACACGTCCCCCAGGCATGCTTACACTGCCTAATTCTTGCAGATGACAAGAATCCTTACAGCCAGTGACCTCATCTCCAAATGAAATGTATAAACAGATGCTCTTTTAAAGCCACTATATTCCTCCACATGCTGCCTCGATTGATATAGTCGTTGTTTATTTACTCCACTGCTCCAAGCTACGTGACAAGGTACAACAGTGAAACTCTACCTGGATTTCAGCTCTGGGGGCGGAATCGGATGTGTGCAGGCATGGCGATGTATGCAAAAGAGAAAGGAGACACCAGGATATGAGGTATCAATGTACAAAAGCACAGGAAGCACAAGACTACCGATGTGAAGTGTCTCTCATGGCATCCTCCAGCAACAGCTCTGGGGTGAAGCCACATCAAATTGGATTCTCTGCATAATGGCACGAAGACCTGAACATTATAGTCAGGGGTAGCTAAGCAGGTAAATTGTATAGGGCAAATCTAAAAGCACTGATCAATTTATTAGCCACAGAATCTTTAGAGCAAGTTATTTTGTCTTGGTTATAGCTCTATCAATGAACACAGCAAGGAAGTTGGCTTACTTGCAGCAGAGCATGCTTCTGTTGCCTTTGCTGAGCAGTAAGGGAGATCAGTTCTCTCAGCAGATCCCAGCTTACACCTGTTTTTGCTCTTAAAGCCATGTCCAGAAAAACACATGCAGCAGGAAGTTCTCGGTATATAAACACAAGGTAAAAGCTTACACTTTCTGGAGCTGAGCACTACCATTAACAACATCAACAAGAAGGCACAGCATCATACCACATATATATAAGTCATAGGCCAAAGCTCAATATTTGAGGATAAATATGACACCTAAAAATTAAAACCAGGACTTTTTTTTTTTTCTGCAAACCTCCTTTTGCTTTCACCTACATTCATGTTTCATGCACACAGCTTCTTCATTCCAAGACAAAAAAAGAAACAAACATCTGACAGCCTCTTCCCCCCCCCCTCCCCTTCATCTTTTCCTCCTTCAGTCCCAAACAGTCTCTCTGCATCTGGTGCAATACTACCCTGGATCAGCTCAGTGACCTGCACTGCTCTGAGCTGCCCCAAGCAGCATTCACTGTGAGATTATCAGAAAGAGAAACCAAAATGCTCTTAATGTAGAGATATGCTCAAATAACTATAGAATTACTCAGTGAAATTGAGTGGGGTTATCAGTGGGGTGCAGTTCTTTCTGAACACTGAGGCAGTTTACTCATACCCCACACACTTTTAAGTGTTACATTGCATATTCATAAAAAATAAAATGTATTCCTTCTCATGTGTGTGTTTTCCTCTGCTTCCAGTCACTCTGCTTCTTGGAACTCTGTTGCTCTTGGTAAAAGGAACAGTCCTTTTTTTTCTACCTGTTGCTTTTCAGATTAATTTCACAACATGCTTTTATTAACAAAATAAAGAAAATCAAAGAAAAGAAGACAACATTTGACTGTGAAGGAACTAACTGCCCAAATATATCATTTGTAAAATTTTTCACCATATGAAATCTTCAAACAGAAAGAGTAAAATAAGGAAAGTGAAAGGTGGAATCTTGAGGAATAAAGTTTTTTTTTTTTTAATGTTTTATTTTTAATAAAACTTGACAGATTTGGAGGCCATCTCATGCCCACTAAAAAGCAGTCCTGGCATCTACATGTCAGTAGACTGTTTTTACAACTAATTGCCAGTGTTGTCAGTCAAAGTACAGGGTGAAGTTTTCTCCTATTCTCAAATCACCAATGCCACATGCAACTAAAATGGAACGGTAGAGTCACTACATATTCTACTAAGAAGCTAATTTAATTAAAAAAAAAAAAAAAAAAAAAGAGGACTGAGAAGATCACAGAATAGTTTGGGTTGGAAGGGACCTCACAGCCCACCCACCCCACACCGTGCCGTGGGCAGGGCTGCACCCCACCAGCTCAGGCTGCCCAGGGCCCCATCCAGTCTGGCCTTGAGCGCCTCCAGGGTTGGGGCACCACAGCTTCCCTGGGCAAGATGCTACACATTTCACTACATCCATAGCACTCACTTAGTTTTCACCTCCCATGAGATGTAGAAATGTCTCCCTATTATCCTTGCAGGAAACAGAAATCCATAGATGAAGACATCTCCTACATCTTTGAGAGATTAAAAGATCATTGTTTCAGAAGTGCAGGACCCATAAAAAGATGAACCAATATAAATAATGAAAGATTAAAATATTTAGTGGCACATGGAAAATAAAACTTCACATTGATAAAGCATCATAAGTACAGCACATTCAGCAGTAAATGGATTAAGCTCCCAGACAGATGTATAAGTGGACTTGCCGAAGATAGTTAGACGTATTAAGCTATTTGGCTGCCACTTTCCCTTGCCCCCAAGCCTAAACACTGCTTTAAAATAACAAGTCATAATCCCCTTTTAACAAACTGACAAGTTGTTTTTTTTTTTTTACCATGCATAACTGAAGACCTGCTAAGCAGACAGAAGTAGGCCTTCAGTGACATCCCTGCGAAGCACTGCATACTGCCCAATAAGCTGCAGACATTAAGATCACTCCTCTAAGACGCCAATGACTTGAAGGTCTCCTTACAGACAGGGTCACAGTCACCAGGTGATGTGGTCACAATGTCCCCCAGGAGCAGCCTCAGGATCTTATTTATGCTTGAACTCATGTGGCTCCAACTTACCCTGGCCCAAATGGATTGCTCACTCCAAGTTTGGCTTTCAATATCTAAAAGAGGGCTATGAGAATGAAAGGTACAGACTCTTTAGCAGGGTCTGTTGTGATAGGACAAGGGAAAACTGTTTCAAACTAAAAGAGGGGAGACTTAGATTGGACAGAAGGAAGAAGTTTGTTACAATAAGGGATGTAGGGCACTGGCACAGGTTGCCCAGAGAGGAGATGGATGCTCTGTCCATGGAGACACTCAAGGTAAGGCTGGATGGGGCTCTGAGCAACCTGATGTAGCTGTAGGTGTCCCTGTTCATTGCAGGGGAATTGGATCAGATGGTCTTGAAGGGTCCCTTCCAACTCAAATGGTTCTATGAATCAGCAGGAGACACCCCAGCAGAAGCTATGCTCCTCATCACTACAAGAAGCAGCTGGTAAGATGCTTGCATGTTAGCTACTGCCAGATGTGTCCAACTGCATGCAAGCCAAGTGATTAGAAAGACATAGCTAAAACAGCTGGACCCAGCCTGCATTGGTTCTAATCATGTCCAGAGCAGAACAGCAATTATTTACCAGTGCTTATTTACATAACACCACTCACATCAGTATTCAACACACAACATCCTTCAAAGATCTGGCCGCAATCTCACCTTGCTTGAAATCTAAATACCTTTTGGAAAAGTTACAGAACTAGGGGAAAGTGCACAGGCAAAGCAAACACAGAACGCCCTCTGCATCTCCTAGGTCATCGCTCCACATACAGAGTGACAGATGAATTTGAGAAATACTGTCATAATCTTCAACAAGTTTTACTGATGGGCTAAAGTCAACCTGAGCAGATTTCTCTCTGTGCTCATTTCATCTGGCAGTGCAGCCACAAGGAATAGCAAAGTTCTTAGCAGCACATTTCTCCAAGTGCCACACTTGGCTTTTAATGCCCATCCATTCAGACTCTACCAAAGTGCCCCAGGCTCCCCTGCTGCCTCCTGCTCAAGCTCTGCTCACCCTGTGCAAACATGCTCAGCCACGGCCAGCAGTTTGTTATACCACAAAGCAGCATTTGATTACAGCTCTCAGATACATGCTGAACTATTTACAGAGCACAAAATTACAGTAGTCTTTATAACATAATATGCTGTTGTATGAAAGACTGTTTGCTTTACAATGTATGTAGGTCGTTCCAAAAGTAATGCCTCCTATTCATTTCCATGGAAACTACAACAGATATAAAATGCATAATAACACCGTTGGATAGGGCAAAATCTCAGTTGCAAAACACTATTTTTCAATATAGCTAACACTATAAGCTATTCATTCTTGCCAGCAGTGACCAAGAGCCTGCATGCAGAATGTGGGTGGGAAGGTTCAATCTCTACTGCCACACCACCAACAACCACCTCTGGCATCACGGGCCAATATAATAAAATAGGAGGCATTACTTTTGGAGCAGCCTTTGTATATACTAGTGAATAGGATACATTTTCAGCCATATAAGAGCACTGGCTGATTTTTAGATAAAGAAGCAGTAAAAACAAGCACACAGTTAGCATTTCATTCTGAAGCCAGACATATCAACTACAACTATAAGCAGCACTTCATGCATCCCAAAGGAAAGAATGCTTGCTTCTCAGCAGTACAATAACCTGGATTACATATCATTTAAAAAGAAAGAGAGAGAGAAAGAAAAGGAATATATGCTTATTAAAAAACAACAACAGCAACAAAACCAACACATAAATACATGCCTTTTCTCCTTCCACTGCATGCTTTCTTTCTTCCTGGAAATGTATTTAAAACATGAAATGCTTCCTTAAAATACTGAACAACTAAATCTGTGTAGGCACCTGCATACACCCATGTTGTTTAATTTTGTTGTCGGTTGTGGGTTTAGGATAGGGGGAGGTTGTTTGCTTGTTTTTTCTTCATTAGAACTGAATGCTTAATAACCAAATAGCTTGCATCACCTAAATTGCTGATAGATGTTCAGACACCAAGATCGACAACATTCATCAACTCCACAAGTCTTACCCTGACTTTGCATCATTGATGAGACCACTATTCAGAGGCTGTGCTTTCTCTTAATACTAACACTGATCCTCTCACAGCTCAAGATAGGGGTTGCATTTCCTGTTATAAGGTGGTTTGGTAATTATGGCTCCTTCATTCATAAATGGTATTTCAGACTTGAATGATGATCTTGGCAACTGCAATAAAAAGTAGCTGCATTTAGGACACAAATCTCTACATCAGGAGGACTTAAACATAAATGACTTTAAGTGCTTTGGTGAATCAGGAAGGATTGGAAAGCACAGAGATGCTAATAATTTTTGCTAGGGAATTACTTTGCTCTTCACATGACAATTATTTTTTCAAAGCTAGAAACCATCAATCATATTTTCTTTTGGTTCTTTAAAACACCAGATTTATCACAAAGCTATCACACAGTGATATTATTTATTTGTTTAGAAGGACAGTGCTGAGGGCAGTGGGAAACAATGAACAAAGCCCACCACCACAGCTCATTCCCTACCTTGCTCAATTTGTCAGACAGCATGCCTCTGTTAGGATAAAGACTGTTTCACTAAAACAGTTATGATACTGCCAGCTGGGAATAGGGAAAAAATAAAATAATCAGACTCTACTTCGCTTAGCTGCCTGGAAATTATTTAATATATAGTAAAAATATTGATCCTGTCAACAGCGAAAATTTGAAGTTTGCAGCACTCAGTCACATAAGCCCATACATCTTTAAAGCCACACGGTTTAAGTGCTCAGACATCTGGATTTTTGCAGTGGTGAATCCACAGATTCCACTTCTCAATCCATCCATTCAACCTTCAAAAAGTAATCTTATAGCAATTAAATTACATCTTTGTGAGAGTCAAGTAACTTAAACAGAATCCACACACTACCCCATGGTCAGATTTGTTTATTAGCTCTTCCAGTTTGGGCTTTAAACACAAATGCTGAGGCAGGGAGATGAACAAAACTGAGGTCTGAGGAAAGGTCTGTTGATGATGAACTCTTCCAGGTTACCAGGCAAATAAAAAGCTGCAGCTTTGCGATTTTTACCAACACTTACAGGAGAGTTCTCTGTTTTTAAACATAGACAACAATACCATTTTTAAATGTTTCTAAGGTATACCCATGATATCTTTGAGGGATGAGCTAATGTGACGCCAGACCCCTAGAAAACCTGTATTGTTGGAGAGTGGTGGTTCCGTGCCAAAAGAATCACAGAATCACCAAGGCTGGAAAAAACCTCCAAGATCATCCAGTCCAACCATCCACCTACCACCACCATTTCTCCATTAAATGCCCCTTAGTGCAACACCTCCAGGTGTTCATGCAGGGATGGTAACTCAAACATCTTCCTGAGCAGCCTATTCCAGTGCCTGACCACTGTTTCTGAGAAGGAGTTTTTCCTAATATCCAACCTGAACCTCCCCTACACAACCTGAGGCCATTCTCTTTAGGCCTATCACAATTTACACAGAAAAAGAGGCTGATCCCCACCTCGCCACAACCTCCTTTCAGAAATATCAAGTGCCTAAAATGATGTCAGATGCTCAGACACCTGAGTGGCCCCACAGGACAAATGAGAACTGGATTGGCCAGAGAAGCTGTGGATACCCCATCCCTGAAGGTGGTATTCCAAGCCAAGTTGGATGGGGCACTGGGCAGCCTGAGCTGGTGGGTGGCAACCCAGAGGAAACAGATCTTTGAAGTCTCTTCCAACACAGATCATTCTATGATTCTGTGATTAGTCCCAGTCCAGTTCACTTTCCTACTTCCTTTCAGCACGTTCCTTTAATGCAAGGCCACATGATTTCAGTGCGCAAAAAAAAGAGTCGCTTCCTCAAAGCAAGTATTTGAAACACTTTGCATGGTATAGGTCTGAAACTTTGAGAGTAGTGATCATGAGAGAAAGACTGCATACTAAAAAACCAAGCTGCACAGAAGGCAAATTGAGGACGGCAGCACAGAAGGACTTTGTTTTCACAGCATGTAAAGAGATGTGCTGTGACTCTACTCCTGTACAGACCTCTGGTTCATGTACACTATATCCCATTATCACTTTGTGAGATGTCAGAGCAGTTTCTCTTTTAATTTGGAACAAGATAAGGCTCAAATATGTATACATGCATACATCACAAACTCAAAAGCATGTTTTCTAGGTATCAAAACCATTAACTACCTGATATGCACGCTTTCTGAAGGCATTTTCTACCCAGGCATTCCAAGGCCATTGTGATTACAGAGGGAAGCACCACGACACCACAAACATGACAGAAGCATGGCTTACTACTCCAACATCTTCACCTCATCTTACCTGAGTGTTTTATTAAATTTGCTCTGCTCACTGGCAGAAGTGTGAATTTCAAACCCATATTAGGAAAGAAAGAGGTCACAACTAAACATAGCCACAGCTAATCTATAAGGGGAAAAAAAGCACAAGGAAATATTTTTGTTCCTCTTTGGGTTTTATTATTTTCACCAAAACATTTCTGATAGACAGACAAATGTACATTTAGTACAGAGGAGAAAACAGCATTCAGCAGTCTGAAATGAAATCATACCAGGAAAGCCACTATTTGCAGACAGGAAAGACCACTTGGAGAAATGAAATTGAATGATTCTTCCAACTTCTATCGTAAGCAATGCCCAGCAACCAAAACATACCTATGCACAACAGATATGCACAAATGGCTGAAGTTTGATTTTTGACTTGATTACATTCTTGTTCCTAAAATAACCTCTCATCATATAACCAAAAAAGCTGCAGCAGAGAACTGGCCAACGTAACCAGGGTCTTTAGCAAGCTTACACAACTCCCTCAGTGTGTGCAGAAGCTATCACTTCCATCACAGGAACTGTGAGAACAGTTAACATCTGAACAAGTCTTAAGATAGGATCTCTCCATAATTTAGAATCGCATCCAGATCTGAAGCAGCAAACTAGAACTCCCTAGAAAAAAGCAGAGATACTGCCACCCCCCAAAAAAAAGGGAATTGGCCCTCAGACACTTGCAGAAGCCCGCTAAAGAAGAGCTCTGCCTTCTCATCCTCTGGGAGGCTTCTTCCTATCCTCCAGGAGCTGGGAAGCTTCTCAGCTGGGTGTGGAAGGGAGGAAGAAGCAGAGACAATGCAATGAGCATATGGTGGAGAAAAGAGGAATTTCATAGAATAACAGAATGGTTTGGGTTTGGAATGGACCTTAAAGCCCATCTAGTTCCAACTCCCTGCCGTGGGCAGGGCAGCCCCCCATCAGCTCAGGCTGCTCAAGGCCCCATCCAACCTAGCACTGAGCATCTCCAGGGATGCAGATGGATATGTGACAAATAGAATCAAGATCTAAACTCACTTCCACCAAGGAGATGAGAGAAGCTGTAAAGAGAGGCCAGGAGAGATCTGCTTCAGGAGTCCAGAGTGAAGCAGTCCAAGAAAGCAACAGGCAAAGCAAATGATTCTGTACAGCCTCCCCTCTCAGCATCTCCTCCACAACCTCCACTTCTTTAGCAAGACCCTTCCCCAAGCCCTGCTGGCTTAGTTTGCAGCTAAGAAATACCAGCAGTACCAACACAGGGTACTGTTAGGCCTAGAGAAGTTCCCGAGGTTACCAGTGCCACGTGGAGCAGAGAGGGACTTCATTTACTCTTCAGCCACGAAGCTCAGGTCCTGTCAGCCACAGAAACCCTGACAAAGCAGACTGCTGGGCAATGAGCCTCCTGGCAGCATCGCTCATCATCAGCCAACACACACACAGACACAAATCCAAGAAAACGTGGGAGTAGTTCAGTCTTGCTCATTCCCTCCATGCTCCTCCATCCTCTCCTATTGTCAGTACAAACCAGTTACAGGGAGAATTAAGAAAATCTGATCCAATTACACCACAAGTACAAAAATCAAATATGCAGACCAAGATTAAGCACTGCTAGCACAATGACTTCATCTGTCATGCAGCACAGCATTAAACTTACCTGCTCATTACTGTAATTTGGCAACTGAATTAAATGCTTAAGAAAGAGCTCTGACGAAACCCACAGTAAGTGGAATGAAACAAGGAAGAGGAGGAAGAGGTGAGCAAGAGAAAACTACACCAGGAGATCAGGATAAGGTGGATATGCATAAACCCACCTGTCTGAGCAGATCTGCCTTCCCCTTGCTAAGGTTTCTTGCAAGAATTCAGCTGCAGGGGGGGGAATACATCCAATGGTGTGTGTCTGACATTGTTAGAACCTGTTAAATAGCTGCCCTAGGACAGACACAGCTGCAGACAGGATCTGTATCAGTGCAGCAGGCTTTTAATTTGTTCAACAATTACTCTCAGGTACAGAAGCACAAAGCTCAGGAGGACTCACCGCTCCATGAGACCAAGCACCAGCTTTCTGTTATTTACATCTTCTCTCTCAGAGAAATTTCACTGGGTTACATTGTATTTGTGAATTCCAATTATTATGTTATTTGTTAAAAAAACAAACAAACATGGTTTTCCAAGACACGGGTTCCACATACCAGACACTATGTACTACCCACAACGCTTCCAGAATCACATTTTAAGGGCACTCTGGATTTAAGGCAGGAACCCAGCGGGGCTCCCCTCTCATAAGAACATATGGCACTTTAAAAGGCAGCGTGTTACAAACTCGCACAAAAGCTATTGAGTCACTCAATAGAGGCTTAATTTATCTCTCCTCTCTCTCTCTTCTACCTAGACATTTGCACTACAGTCAGCGACAGGAAGACTGAAATTCCTCACAGTCCTAAGGAAGCAAGCTGTCTCTCATTTACATTAGAGATATCCATGCTTTCAACTCAGATGCAGCTGATGACAGTTTGGTGATGCCAAGGTTAGGCATTGGCCATTGCTGCGGAAAGAACACTAAGAACAAGAAGTTCCTTGCATGGAGCATCCTAGATCACTTGTGTTTTACCAACAGGCAAAAAAAAAAACAACATATATCCTGCCAAAAACTTTGGGCACACCACACATAAAAGAAAGCATTTCAGGAAGCTGGTTAATGTTTCTTTTCTGTTCACACAGAGTGACAGACAATCACAGCCCATAATTTTCTGTTACATCATCTCTAACGCTCATTCGTCAGCACAGGGAGCCAGAAACTTGACTCAGATTTTAATTCATCACTTATCATTTTGCAAAACTACTCAGGCACCCACCAGCTTTGTGCAATGGCTGTAATGCCAAAAAGGCGAGCAGAACAAGAATCAGAGCTTGCATTGAAATTCTGAGGGCACAAGCTGCCTAGCTTCTGAATGAGGGTTACCCAGCCTTTCAGCTTCTGTTCAGTGCTTTCCACACACTGCTGGTAGTTACAGCTTCTGGCCTGAGCAACTCTGAGTTACTCTGACTGGTTGTCGGGAATTAATTTGGTGCCACAGAAATTTATTGAGCGCTGAACGGATGAAAAATAGCGAAACAAAGGAAATGGACATGAAGGTCTTTGTAGTAACCGGATTCGGGCTCCAGTCTTGAGGCTGATCCTCGAGGTCAACACATCCTCCTCTGCTTCACCTTCTGCACAGAACACATGGACCACAAGCAAATTGTTTCCATACACTTACAAAGGAAGGCATGAAATGGTTGCTATGTGAAAGGACCCCTTGCCAGAAGAGTGAAAACACTGATACCCTTCCCAGAGTCATTTAGTCTGATGCACAGATCGCTGCCCTGTGCTGGAATTTACAGCATGTGAGGATCCTAGAGCAGAGCTGGCTTGGAGCATGAGTCTTGATCAAAATTAAAGGGCAGTGTGCACAGCTGAAGGGGATTTCAAGAGGTCATGTCATCCAGCTGTCCCCAGTCTTTCATAGCTAAGCTTTGCCATCACCTTTCACTTCACTAAGAACACCGATTTCTTGTTCTCAACCTCCTCCAACCCATTTTTGCACAGCAATGTTAGGGACATGAAGAGGCTGCCAGAACTTATGTTCTTTGGCTTCTCCTTGTCTATACCTAAAATTGGGGCCCTTCCTATCAAGGACACAGTGCTCCAGACCCCGGAGCAAGAGCCCCAAGCCACAACCCTTTCCAGAGGCATCTGCCAAGATCTGCTCTTTTTGAGTTCTCTCCAGCATCAGAGATTTCGTAACTCCCATTTGGCAATGGAAAGCTTTTTCCAAAGCTTTCCAGCTTTCCCTTCTGCATCTTAAGCCTGTAACTTCTTGTCCTCTCTCCAGTGGGCAAGGAGAGCAAACTACTCCCTCCTCCTCCACAGTAGACTTTCAAGTGCTATCTACATAGTAGGCCCATTATTCTGCAAACCTTCCCTTTGGTGATGTTTTCTAGACTTGCCCGTGACTTCTTTCATTTCTCTCAAAGCTTTGCCCTTGGGAAAAAGGGTTTCTTTACACGTAATGCCTATGGCTGCACACCATACTATTGCTTGTGCCATGCAGAATCACAGCACGGCAGTGTGCATGCAGCCCAGTATGTCTGGTTTCTTTCTTTGGGGTAGGAAGCTTTGTGGGTTGTTTTGCAATCATGCAAGACTGACTCACATTGAAGTTGGTGAACTGCTAAGTGGAAGCACTACAGTTTTGGTTATTATCAAGCCAGGTACTGGTATGAATACAGACAAGCTTGGGGCTCTATTTTCTCTTAGATGTTCTGCCAGCCTAGCAGAGTTAATGAACAGCAATAAAGGGACTCCAGTGTAGGCACAGAGGCACAAATTAATGCAGGCAGTGATATCACCAAAAAGTGAAACTGTTGCGGTTGTTCTTATTCAGAAAGATTAAGAGCACCAGCAAATGGGCTCCTCCTCTGACCAACTAAATTGCAGTCTCACTGAAAAAGATGCTGCCAGCAGCTTTTCAGTGCTCATATTCCCAGAGCACTGGGGAGGAGCCAACTACACAGGAGTAGAGCAGCCAGCTCTATCTGCTCAGTGACAAAAAGCTCCCAGGTGTGCTCCATTATTCCACTGCTCCACAAGCCAGATCAGGTAGAAACGTGAATGCACAAGCATATGGCTCTGTAGCCAGGTCTTGGGAAAGGTAATACCAATCAACAAGAAAAGGAACATCCTGCTGGAGGAGGGGGGTGGGGGAGTGAAATAAAGCTTAATTCATTTATTTTAGGTCACCTAGTGAAACCAAAGCATCTACATAACACCGCTAGGTTCACATTTACTACTGCATTTGTAAGGTTGTAAGTGGAGCTTACAAACTGCATAATATGCTTTAGATCACTCTTAGAGCTTTTTGGCCTGAACTCGGCCCTTTAAATACAGCCATTTCTTCACCTAACCTACCTGCCCCACATACCTCCTTGTATCAGAGTAACCATGCAGGAGATACTTCTCACCAAAGAAATTGGATCATCTTTTCCTCAAAGGATGAGGGTCAGGAGGACGAGGGCACCATAATTTCAATAAAGGCATTTAAAAAGTAATGATGATAACGGAAGTATCAGCACAATTTTAAGACAGACAGTAATATTTAAGCTTACTCTCAGCTTGCTTAAGTATTTGATCAAAAAATTCACATAGGCAAAGTTATTAATCAAAATAAACCAATCCAGGAAATGAGTATTAAAGTAACCTTAAGCTAACATTCTCTTTGGAGGTTTCTTCACTGAAAAAAGATGTCTCTACACTGACGTTATAAACCTAATCACATCTCAATGGATGCTCCTTTGTTTGCAGCAGTTGTGGGTGTATAGAGCATCCAGTGCTAATTCCAAATGCAACACCAGAGCTGTAAAGCTTTTGACAACTTCATCTGAGCAAAAAAACACCATCCTTTCCCTGGCATAGCAACTCAAGTTATCCATAGTTAACGTTTCCAGGTAATTCACGGTATCCTTTGGGACTTATCAAGACAGCCTTTAAACTGGCATCTGGAGGACCAGTGCAGATAATCATAAAGCACTGCCTTCTCACTTATTATGCCTCTGAAGAAAAG